GAGTACGAAGAAACTTCATTTATTAAGTGCCGAGACAAACGCAGTGCCTTCCTTTTGCTTGACGAAGTGCCTGTCGCTTGTTGTAAGTTGCTGGTATTTTCATTGTACGTTGATAAAAATCCATGTAAACAAACGCTGCTGAAGCCCTAAACGATATATGAAATGAAGTACCGATATGCGTAGAAAAATCAAGTGTACATCCCGAACACTGCTTGATGCGCCTCGCAAGCGGAACTGCTTTTGGCCGTATTGTACCTCGCCAGTTCAACAGCATTGGAAGTGAAATCGAATTCTGGTTACGCTGTTTTCGTTTAAGTGTTCTCGAGTCTCATTATTGATATTATTAGTTTGTAGTATAACAATGATATAGACATTAAAGAGAATGAAAACCCGATCCTGTAGTAAGTGTCCTTAGATGCTTTAAAAATTACCCCTGTTCACTACGCTGTTTTACTAGGTCCTTTTTTAAGGCAAGGTGGCGCGGAAGAAGACATTTATTCTTAAGCGTAACATGCAGCAAGTTTTCATCTGAAGGCTAGACAGCTTGAGAGTGATAGCGAAGAGACGCTGAAAGCACTTTCTGCTCTGGCTGGTTGTCCTGTTTTGCGTGCATCAGTTCGAAGGAGGCCTTTAATAGGTTCGGATTTAGGCAAGGTTGACAGCCCTCTAATAATTTTTATAGGTCTGCCAAACAAACAAAGTATTCATTATATAATGCTCATGCTATCCATATTTACTTGGCAAAAGGTGTCAAAAGAATTGAACGAATAGAGGCGAGCTAACGCTGACTAAGGCAGAGAACAATGAGAATACACGGCCAATAAGGTAATGAGAAAAGATCATACATGTGTTTGAGACAAACAGTCCTTAAAGCCATATGAACCAGAAAAAGAACATGCACGTTCGGACGTTCTTACGTGTACAAGCACGACGACAACAACGAACTGGCATATTTCAGTAATATCGCTAAAGATCTTTATTGAGCCCGCGAACAGACAGCGATAAGCATTCACTTATGGTTCAGTTATTTATAGCTGCTTGTCTAGTCGCTGTTGTATCTATCAATAAGCATTGCTTAAACCTCTTTGGTATCTGATTAGATAGAATATTCCATTCATTTTCTTCTATAGGCTAACTGTTCTTTCACTTTTAACATATACAATGTTATGATGATTTATTACCACGATGTCTTCTTTTCCACACAGCTGCAACAAAATCTTCTTTAATAAGCGTCCCTAAATCTTACACAATAAATAGCGCATATGGTGCGGTGGTACCATTCAAGCCGCCGTAGATAATTGATTACGCCTATCGGTGCTTGAGACGACATACGTAAACATTCAGTTTAAATGCAGTTTTCCCACTATGTTTGGAAGATAAACATTTGCTTTCGATGGCAATAAGTTATAGAGGAAGAGGGAAAAATAACAACTCCCAAAAGCTTTAGCGGATTATTCTAGGTTTTGACTCTTTTCGTACCTGTCTGAGCAATGCGACATGTTCATTAATTCAACGACGTCAAAACACCTAAGCCTACTCTCGTTCAGCACAAGACGTTTACTTGGCCGAGCAAATAAAATAGTGATCACAGATTGTTACCCGTGCGTTAACGCTGAAGAAATGTTCATAAGCACCGGGCATGGTGCACCTTCGAAAAGGTTTATCTTCATCGTCGGCTGAAAACTTGCAGGTCCGCAATCGGTTAGGTTGACCACATAGCTGCATGATTAATTAATGGTAAATCCTCAGTGATCGATATTGACCCAGACATATCGGCTATTTCCAGACTCGGTTACCCATATAATTAAAACATGGCAGGCAGATGGAAAGCTTGCTGATGGCTTATTGCTATAAAGTGCATTAAACTAGTTGTTAGTAACAGTTGTAAAGGATGTATTCTTACAGCTGTACTTGAAAATGGCCAAACGTGAATTTTTTGTTAATTGAAGTTGATATCGACCCAAGGCTTCATCGATTCGACGTATTTTGTCTGCAACGAATGCTAAAAAGGCGAAGCCTACCGCTGCCTTCACACTGCTTGAAACTAACTACCTCTGGCCGTCAATATGCGATGATGTGTCGGGCGTAAAGCGTTAATTCAACAATGCTGGTCATATAACGGCCTAAAGTCATCCACGTACACATGTGACAGTAAGCCGCTTACGACTCTGAAAGGAATGCTTCAAGCAGGTTTGCAGCCTAAATAGCACGGCCATTGTATCCAATGGCTGCTTTGAGCGGACAGCGTCGTCTGCAGGACCGCGTGTACAGCTAGCTAACCATAACTAACAAACGCTCGCAATGATGACTTAGGACAGGTGTTTACCACTGGCCATCTCACTCGCTCGTCGTAATAAGTAAGGAGCTTAAGCCGAAGACAGTTAGCCCGTTCTTGACGTTGCGATGATCATGTCGATTGGTGGCACAGGGTTTGGTCGTTTGTAGTTTGTCGGGGAACTTTCTGGAGACAAGCGTGTTACGACCCCGAATTCCGCCTAGTTCGTATACTCGTAACTAAAAAGTACACTAGTACCAGATACTAGAGCATATATATTTGGTAAAACTAATCGGCCAGCCAAGCGTTTGTACATAAACCGCGTGTGCCATCTACGTAACTTAAGTCACGCTCATGGCGAACAATAGCCATTTCTGCGATTTCTGTTTAGCTTGCTATGTCGCGAACAGCCCAAACGGCCTAGCAAAATATGCTTTGTAAGGGCAGATGTTAGTACGTCCGCATGAAATAATGTGTGGGGCAGGTGACGCAGGGGGATGATTGCGCATATGGTTGGCCTCATCGTGGGTCGTGACTACCCGACGGGGAAATGATGACTTACTGCGATTTTATGACGGATATCACAGCTCTGGCAGCCTACTGACAATCGTATCGGATGCCAAACGAAAAATTCTTAAAGGATAATTAGACTAAATATATCTTGTCTATCTTGGAATAATAATCATTATTATTTTACTTATACAAATGTTTTAACTGTCCAAAGCTACGCATTATGATGAAATAATACAAGGAACGAAAGGCAAATGTAGTCTTTTTTTAGAGCTGTACGCAAGCTACCAAATTATCATACAATTTATATGTACAGTTCGATTTTACAGCAAGTTCGACCTTGCTCACGTAATATATAATGCCAACACAACTTCCTCTGTCTAACTTCGAACATACGCCGCAAATGAACGCTCGCTCGTATTCTCTATATAACCATTACAGTAAACGTCTTATAGATACTGAAGCTCAATTAACTCAACATGATAATGTTGAGTATTATTACATGTACCAATTAAGGTTCTCTAAATACCTTCACATTTTTCACACTATCGAAATGTATATGGTTACATGACGACGTTTTCACTATTCATTACTATACGATGGACCTTAAAATGTCCTCGGACATCATTCTCGCACTATGGAAATGACTCGTTATGACCCGTTACCATTGGCAAAAGCTATTCGATTCCATACGTCAGCTTCACTATACCTGGGTAAATGTGCTGCTATATCACATTGTTAACAATTAATGTACGTCATACGTATTTTATTATAGTTGGCTTCCGTTGTTGCAACGTGAACGTTTCTTACATTTCTTCTTGATTCTACTATCTTATCGAGAGCTTCATTTTCCGACAATCGAGGTTTGTCAGCTGCAGAATGATGACCTTACTCAAATCAATGCTGTATCAGGGAATAGCATCGAGTCGAGAGAAAGATTCGACTCGCGAGCATAACCATCATAATGAAACCCCCGCAATGATCGTATTCGATGATACGGTGGCCTGCCTCATCCCTGTTGACGCGTGATATTTCTGAGGCGACGACGTCGATGACAACACAAGCTTGAAAACGAAAAGTTCTCTTTTTCTTTGCCGGCGGTTTGGCGTTTAAAACCTTCACATTCGTAGAAATGGTACTGTTCTCCGGGTGTCGTTTAGCGTCGAAGTCACCGTTTCACAAGCAACAGTGCTGCGGCTACCACGAGAGCTATCAGCCAGATGTGACGTCGCGATGCCTTACAGTCTTGCCGGCTAGACGGACCAGCAACTGCAGTACTTATGGAAAACTGCGACCCTTCAACGCCATCGACGTTACCGCTTCCCGAGGCAATTCCCATCACGCTGTCCTGCATTGCTGCTGGCGAGTCATCTACAATGTAAATGTGAGGCGTACAGAGACTTGTGGATGAGTACTCAGATGCACATAGACAGCGGTAGACTCATATAGCTGTAAGCAAGATACAGCATCTCCCTTTCGTTTCTTTTTGCTCGCTCACACAACCCAGCGAAGAACAGCCTCTCCACGGTGTATATACAACCTCGCACCCCAAATACTGATAAACGGGTATCTATGTCAGCCATGACGACCACCGGATGGTCCGTCTGCCAGCCCCAAAAGCGCCACATGAGGCCAAAGCACCCCACAGCTGCTTCCGTTTTTCCGTTTTAGGACAATCCCAGCTCTAGCGGTGCGACCATCCGTCGCATTCTTTCAGCCAGCCTACTGACTGAGCAACTTCGACTATTCTAGTGATCGTTGTTACCGCAGCTGCTTAAGGCAAGTTGATTCGTCGGAGATTAGCTTCCATCTTTGATCTATGGCTTCTATGGCACAATCTTGTCTAACGAAAACCCACTCAAGTGATATCTGTTTTTTAAATTGAATATATATATATATATATATATATATATATATATATATATATATATATATATATGTATATGACGAGAAAGATATGTGCAAAATGGTTTGCCATGTGCGACTTATAATTGGCCTTAATTCCTTATCAAAAGATAAGATAATATAAAAAAGAAAGGATCAATACTTCAAGGATCGCCTTAGTGGTAGGAATACGGGATTTTTGGTATGTATCTTACAAAAGTGAAGAAGCTCAAGCGTCTTTTTTATATGACAATCAATTTATACAAAGAAATATTGACACGTAAAAGTTTTAACGCATCCCATCTCTCTAATTCATTGGATTCATCGTGATCAAGTCATGGAGTGGAAGCCATCGTTGGGATCCATTGCAAAGGAAATTGCCAATATTCATTAACATTTTAATATTTTCCATTTCCTTTCTACTGACCACCCTTCATGGCGGCATTCGTAAACAAAGCAGGGGCATATTTTCTTTAGGAACCTTAAATACTTCGAAGTGAGAACGTGCGATAGAACCTCGCACTAAAGGTGGCGAACATTTGTGGATCTGTGTTTGTCTTATTATATATACGTGATATCCATTTCATAATCTTGTTTAAGCTCTAGATAAATCATTAAAATGCTATGGGGTAGTTTCACATGCCTTACTAACAAGGTTATCGAGTATTAGACATTAGGTATTTATTGATGGATACTCACTATTAACTATCACAAACACCTGTATGACATCTGGTCCTGAGTGCGATGGCTGACAAGTGTAATTACCAGAATCAGCGGGACCCACGGAGAAGATTTCGAGGCGACTTTCGAGCCGGCGTCTTTCAGAGTCAGCTTGGTTGACCTCTTTAGTGCCGCTGATCTGGTCAGTTTTAGCTGAGGGTGGTAGCATAACGGTAACCTTTTGTCGTTGATCCTGATCGTAATTGAGCAATTTGCCGTTGCGGGACCAGAATATAAACTCAGTTTGCCCTGATGACCTTGACGACGTGAAGGGTGACGATGATGTTGTTGATGACGACAATGAACTGGTTGGCGCGGGTGTGGCGAGTAACACTGACGATAATGCACCGTCCACGAGACAAGTTAACCGTAGCACAGACCCTCCGTTCACATACAATAAAGGACCACCGATGATTGTAGCCCGGCTTTCTGTACATGACATTATCAAAAACCAGTTGAGTGCTTTGAACAAGATGGCGCATCCCGATTAGTTTGCACGAAGACCGTTTGACAAACCAAGAAGAATTTTCTATTGTAGTTGAATAATTTTTCACCCGGTTGCAGATAAAGGTAAGCGCCGTCTAGTGAATAGCACTTCTAGACGTAATATAAGCATGAAGATGCGTCAAAAACACGCATCAAATAATAAAATATAACAAAAGCTTTACGTGCCGCTACTGTGTTTAATGGGCTTTTCGCTTGAATACTATTATAACTACGCCGATACTCAGTGTTAACACCTACCAACTACCCGAAGCGTGACAAATCGACTGATCTTTGGCGTCGTGCTGACCTGGCATTCGTAGACGCCGGCATCCTCAGGACGGACGTCTCGAATTTGTAAGTTCCACGACTCGAAATTATCGATATGAGCAGACTGAACCCGTGACTCCATTGTATACGTGTGCCGGCCAACGGTGAGAACGTTGAGTGTGCCAGAAGAAAGTCTTCGGATCCAGGATACCTACTTGTGACATAGGTAAAAAACAAGACAAAGTGTGTAATACGTAGTAAATAAATACTCAAATCAAGATAATGTTAGAATACGGTTAGCACCAGTAATAGGAGCTATCCACCATTGCTTCCTGCCGACAACAATCCTTCTTTTCTTGCGAGAGTTCGACGGGTCGACTAAGAAGTCTTAGACCGACTGTATAGGGAGAGGCTTTATTCCGTGCGTACCGTTTGTACAATGCAGATAACAGAAGGGAATGTTTGAAGCGCATCTGTGGACATACGCGGCTTCCGCGCACCGCACTTCGCACGTCTCTAAACCACTTCACCTCTAATGAATTTCAGAGCTTGTGTATCTGACTCTGTAATAATAACACCAAGTTAAAGTCAACACTGGTGCACTACAAATGATACATACTGCGAAGATATTACTCTTGCAAATGATAGTGTAGCTGAGACAACGACAACTGCCTTTCCCTTACTCCGTGAAATCTCTGCTCTTCGAAAGGTTCCAGCTGTGGAAAGCGTGGGAGTTTCGTTGACCGTTGCGCTCTCCTATTAATGACACGAATGCTCTACAAAGTTTTGGCCTACATCAGTCTTTAACCAGCGTGCACGTGAACTCTTACCATCAGCGATGAATCAGCTGGGGGGTGAGTAAAGGTGCCAGGTGTCGAGCATCTGCTCTTCCAAAATGGGACAATGTCAGGCTCTGCTTAGCTATTTACTTTTAATAAGTGCTAGTTTTGTTGTGATTTCTAACAAAGCTGACGTTATTTTTATGTTATTTGGCTCCTCGTGAGAATTTATTAACTAATGTACTTACCGTCCTGTCACCGAGGTGACGAACACTACAAGGCAAAAAAACGTCTTTTCCAGTGTTGGCAACAACCTCTGAAGCTGTGCTGTTGTCAAAATGTGGTAGCATTTTGATAAAGTACGATGGAAGTCGCCGGTACGTCTTGACAATTCCTGGTGTAAGCACGTTATGATCGTAATTTGTTGAATTGGTCCATCCTGGAAGTGAGTATCTGTTAATAGTACGGTAATAAGTCCACAATAGTTAACTTGAGCAGATTTATAGAGCACTTTAAGCACGTGTCTCCATGTTCGTTTGCAATATGAACGTTTGCACCCGAAGCGTGATTAATAGCAATGAGGTGCACAATATAAATAGCCGAAAAACAACCTTTTACGGTCAACGGCCCGAAAAGACCAAATTGGAGCGGAAATCGCTAGAAGAGAGCATCATTACCACCGCCGATCATGCGATGTGTTACGGGCTATCCACGGCTGTCGCCTGGTAACGAACAAGCTAAATGGCTTTTCAATGAAGCTTTCCTTGTCAATCGGTGGAAGCATTTGTCTGGCTTCGGCCTTTCTCTCTTGCGTGTTGTAATGGTTGGTAAGTTGACTATGCGCAGCCCGATTAGAAGACGGTACGAGCAACTGCGATTGATGGCAACCTACTGCAGAAAAGAAAGAAGACGGGATGGGCCAACAGGGCAGCGAAACTAATAGGGAAATGGGCTAGGAGTAACTGTTATATAGTTTAAAATATAATAATAACAAGTTATTATTATGACGCAGAGAAGCAGAACCAGCGCGCGCATTTAACGCTCCTTATCACTGATAAACGGAAGAGCTGATAAGGCGCATTACCTTTCTGTTTGTTGCTATTATTTGTCGTCTACTACTACATTGCACCACCTCAAACATCACTACACGAAGCAAGGCCCAGTAAAAATATTCGCACAGACTCTTCGAACAAGCAGAAGCTTACTTCATACCCGCTGTTCTTTATCGTTCCCTTTTTCCCCTTCCAGGCCGCCCTCTGTGCCAATGTGGCACGAAGCCTATTGACTGCTCTATTTGTTCAATGGCAGGGTAGACTTCGGGCCTGCTGGCTAAAGTCTATTATGGATGACGCTGGCCGGCCGGTCGCCCAACCGATGACGACTGCGACGTTAGAATGAACAGCGGAGACGGCGCGCTCATGACGGCGCCGTTTCTCTCAGGACTTGCAATACGCATAGGTTATAGCACCTAGAAATCGGAACACATACAGGATGAAAAGAACGCAGAAGATAACTGTGAGCTGAGATGGCAAGAACGAAATGGCTAGCACGAAGCCCCGCCTCGTGCCAACAAGCGATTAGTAATGCGTTGTCGAGAGTAGGAAGATGACATAGAACCGGGAAAACAGACAGCATTACGTTGGGTTTCTGCGCAACCTCATGTGGAAGAAGTCTGATGATCATAATGCGAACTTCCTCATAGAGAAACTTTTCTCCTTTTTAGTACTGCGGAGCTTGCAAACAAGAAACAGGGGGCGAGATAGAAAGGAGGAATGAGAGAATGCTATAAAAGGGATCAGGGACGGGGATAACCAGCAGGCAATCAGTGCCTTGTAGAAGCAAAACACCGATTGTCGGCGGACCGAATCGCCAGCTAAGCTAGCAAGACAGTACGGAACTGCCGAGTTATGAAAGCCAATGACGACAACGGCAGCTACGCTACCAGGAGATGGGACGGGATACATCATGGTTATGACACTCGGCAACTGCGGCTACCATGGATGACAGTGCAACCGTGCGAGCGACAGCGTTCAGAGGACGCGACAAAGTGAGCCAGTGATGCGGACGACCTCTGGCCAACAGCGTGACAGAACGGGTATAGAATGGCATGGGGCGGAGCACGGCAGGACCAGTGTTAGTTAGGTCAACCGCCAAAAAGAACGGAAAGCGGCTTTTCGGCTTGCTTATGGCGCTGTACTGTACCGCCTTGACATTACAGCTGCAGCAGCAGCCGCCTTAGATATATGATTGTCTGTACGGCTTACATTGGGGCAACGACATGGCACGCCACTCATAATACAAGTTTCGGTGTATTTTTGAACATGTGCGCGTATTCCTAAAGAAGATCTCATTCACAGTTTTTTCGTCTCTCAGTTGTGTGCTTTTTTCCGTCACCGTCCATTTTCTTTTTCTTTTATCATCCAATTTACAATAGTATATCGATCATTTTATGCCAGCACTTCTTGACCATTATTACCGCTCCATGAACCTATTGACACGATATGTAAGCGTCTCTAAGTAAGAAGCGTCCGTGCTTAAAGCCTTACTATTGAAAAATTGCATCAGTTTCTTTTGTGTGCCTGAGGAAGCTGAGGAAAATGACCAAAAAGAAAGCGCATATTCCAAGGTTAAGACGAGAAAACGGTATGTTCATCAAGTGAACGCAATTAAAAATATTATCAAGTTCCCCAAGCGGAGATACGTGGGTGGAATCAAAAAATTACAGCAAAAAATTAGAGCAAAAAATTACTCGAATCGTGATGATGAGTTTAGCCTTCTCCATTAATTGTGCCTTCTAGAAAGCGGTTAAGAAACAGTCGGCCTTTTTGGCTCTGTTGAATTGCTTGCATGGTAACATTTACAGGACACGTACTTTAGATAAGTCAACTTTATTTCGTAGTGAAAAAAACTTTGGTTTATGTTTATAATTTGCATTCGTGGAAGAGGTTCTCATTGTCGCTATACACCGTTCAAATGGCTCTTGCCAACTTTCCCTGTCGTAACAATTTAAAAATGTGCTGAGTGAACATGATGCAGCACCTGTCTCGTCCCTCGGCCTTGCTTTTTTCTTTTAAAAGGCCCCGGATGAGAGTGCCGTCAGGCATGAGGTCAAGGAAAAGCGACGCTACTCGTAGCTACTGTTGTTCCTGCAACGATATGTTACCCATGTCGTGTCTAGCGGGAAGCGTTTTCAAGACCAAACGAGAACAAAGGAGTCTACATGATTCTTCACATGGCAAGATCTTTCTGCAAGCTGCTAGAAGTTCAAAAGAGGCCTGTGGCAATGACGATTCGAATTAGACGATTCAAACAAAAAAAAAAAAACAGACATAGAAAATCAAAGCAAATCTGGTGACATCAGCAAAAAGGCACTATCCTCGGCCGTGCTTCCTGTGTAGAAAATTGTCTGTAAAAGCTTTTGCAACAAAAACAACGGAACTTAAATGCCTGAATGGCACGCAGCTTTGCGGCCATGTCTATTGTATATTTAATTCATCGTAAAGTCTGAGGACTTTAGATAGACTGCTTTTTGCTTATTAAATTATGCCACATATTAATATGGCTTACTTGTCACCTCTGTTTACAAAATAACAGCGCATCTTTTTTTTTTAATATTAATTTTTTCAATATGATAACTGATTATGGATAGCAGCATGAAGGATGGACAAGTATTTAGCAGATTCCTATCTAAAAGCGTACGCAATGCACTTTTTGCTCGAATGCTTGTAGTTCTAAATAAGCTATTTGATTATTACGTAACACTGGCATTAGTTACCCAATTTTTCGGACCAAGCATATGGGCTCGTTTGTGCCTTATGGGCTGTAACTGGTTGTTCATTTTAGAGGAGAGCCCACGTAGTCGATCCGATTCGCTTACCAAGTGCACCATTGAAAGTTTAATACTATATTAGAGTATAGTGAGTTGGGTTATTTTTGGGGTTTATTTGCAATAAGTCTGTAAAAAAATGGTATGCTCGAATGAACAATGAAAACGATCAAAAATCGATGAGACAGCTGTAGGGACGCAGATAGACGTCGCTAGATTTCCAGCAGTGAAGTACAGCAGGTCTATCTGCGTGCGGCATAAATGAGCCACAAATCAGCCATTTGGGTTGAAGAAGTGGTCCAAACACATAATTTCGTCCGTGGGTCAGTATTTCCATTTATACTTACCACACATATAGAATATAAATTTAGCTAAACTGAACTATAATGTACGTAGGCCAAACTTCATATACATATCACCTACGATTAATCTACTGGTAATGGAAAATGTCATAACATAAAATATTTTCCTATTTAGTTTGTGTTAACTTCTTGTTTAAGCGATGCCATTTACATTTGATAAACATATTATAGCCACATATTTTGTGAGCGGTACTATAATAATGTTTTTACCTATAGTATGTTCATATATGTTATAGAGTAATAATAGCACCTATTAATGGCCAAATATATATATATATATATATATACATGGCATTGTAATCGTTTACGGTTGATGGTTCTGTGATGCTTCAAACATGTTCCACGGAATATACCCGCGTTAATTTGCACTATAGATCAGATACCTCGATACTAAACGTTGCAACTAATGCCAGTACGTATTGGTATCATAGGGAATCATCCTCATTTTATTTAGGTCTTTTTTTTTTTTATTTATTTATTTATAAGTCACCCTTAAGAAGCCGTCTCTACACTTCATTAATCTCTCAGTGTATCCACCACATTTGCTGTGGTGACGATGTATACACAAACTCTCGGTAGTTCAAATCGTAGTAGTTTTTAATTCATACTTCCTTGGATGATCAAGTCTGACATCTGAATTGTACCAAGTTAACTGAGTACGCCGTATCCTGGTAAACCTGGCCCCTCTCACTTATGCTTTTATGAAAAATTACTTTTGCTCTTCTGCGGCGAATTTGCAAAGTTCTTTTTAACTACATTTGAATTACTGTAGATCGTCTCTCTTGACACTTTTATTGTTGAATACTATTATATATATATATATCCCAAATACCCAATCCATGCCAGGACACTAGTTGGGAGGACGCATTGTGGGATGCGTGCCGCATAATCGAGATTCCTTACGTTCTACACACGCTATTTCCGTACGGACGCCTTGTTTCTCAGAGGTTTTTGAACTATGTAGAAACTTCGAAGCGTATTTTGGTAAGGACAGAGCATACTCTATGCGCATTCGTTCGGCTGCGAAAAACCTACCCTTCTCACACTGCGCCGGCTGAAGTTGGTGCCCCGTCTCTATTTCATGTCGCTGCCCAGACTACCAGCTATTTTCTTACCTCATAATTCGAAATGTGGCCCCTGATAGTCGTTTTACTCGGCTCCCAAAAAATGAATCACGTGATGGTAACAGTTTGTATACAGGACAGAATCAACTGTTAATATTATAGTAAACGCAGTAGTGCTTTTCAGCAG